GAACATAAGAAATATATACAATTAGGAGACAACCTAGAAATAGTTAGAATATAAAAAATTAAGAATTAACTTTATAGCATAACCAGAAAAAATTTAGAGCATAAGAAGTAATATTAGAACATATCTAGTAAATATTAGTACATAAAAAATGAATTTGAAAATAATGTGAAATTACCAACTACTGGTGAGGGAATCAACAAGTTTTTGTCTTTATTCTCTTCATTTCTCTCTTCTTTGTTCTTATCTTTTTCCTCTTCCTTTGATCTCAAATCTGCTTAACAATTAGAACATAACTAATTTAGTACATAACTAATTTAGAACATAACTAATTTAGAACATAATCATATAATTTAGAACATAAGCATGTGATTTAAGCGCATGTTTTAGAACATAAAAAAGTACTTTAAAACATAAGCATCTAATATAGAACATAAGTATAATTTGGAAATTAAGCATGTACATGTGAAATTACCAACTGTCGGTGACTTTGGTGACCTTGTTTCCTCGAATTTCTTCCATGCCTTATCCATAACCATATCCAATTCTTCAATAAATGCCGGTTCATCGAAGACATGTTGATCTTGGCTGAGTATAGAAGGGCTTTTCTTTTCTTCTTGGTTCACGAATGTCTATAAAATAAGAAATTATAATTTAGAACATAATATGCATAATATTTATATAAATTTATTATACTTTAGAACATAAGCTGAAAATACTTTAGAACACAACCAGAAAATACTTTAGAACATAATTATAATACCTTTGTTGTGTACTTGCACCATATGTTGTCTATGAGATGTTGCATTTTTCCTGTTGTTTCTTCCTCAACAAAAAGATCTTTTGCTTGTTCTAACATGCCATACATCTCTTTAACATTCGAGGCAAGTGTTTTTGCCAAATCTCCAAATTTGCTCAAAAAGCCCTTCATTAGAACACAAAAATATGTTAGAACATAAAGGACATAACATGGATAATTTAACAGAAAAGGATTAAATGGAGCATAAAATATAATTTACAATATAAACTAAATCATACCATCATGTCATTTCGAGAAGTTGTAGAACTAGAACCTATTGATGATTTTTCCATTCTCTTCTCTTTTTCCTTTTGTTTTGGTTGTTTCTTTTTTCCTTTTGGTGCCTTCTAGTATATAAATTATAAAATTTAGAAAACAACAACATAAAGTGTAGTGTTTAAACATAAACATATACAAATATCATACCACAATTGATTCCATTCTTTCCAAGAGTTTTCCATATCCAAATCCATGATCTTTTTCAAACTTATATCTCACTTGAATCCTTTCCTTTGTCCACACCGAAATTAGTGGACATTTTCTTGGTTTTTCTAACCCTCCTCTTTGTAGACGATCAAAATAGAATACCTATTTAGTACATGTTAAGAATTAATTAGAATATTTTTCACACATTTTCAACATAACAAGAATAATATATATACATAATGGTAAGAATTTAAAACTTACCATTAGAAAAGGTAAAGGACCTGTAAAGTAAGAATTTCCCTTCTTCCATACACTTACAGAATCTTTCAAGTGCTCAATCACAAATGTGCACCAATCCAATTCAGCAATTTTCTTTACATCCATACAACTATACAAGAATTTAATGTATAGTTGTGGGTTGTTTGTTGATCGAATGCAACAATTGACAACACATACCACAAAGTTCCAAAGAAATTCATCAGAAACTGATTTTTCCTTCTTCAATTCTTGAATTCTGTCAATCAATCTCTTGTTGGTTGGACTTCCCTTTTAGAGGTAAAAAAAACATATAAATTAAAACCTATGGAGATAATAGATCTATTTTAAAGCAAAAAACACTTTAGAACATAAGCAAAGCACTTTAAAACATACAATTTATAACATAAAATTCATACTTTAGAACATAAAATTTAAAACATAACCACATTATATCATCATACTTTTTTGAGGCCAAACTTGCTTCTCCAAGCTTTTAGAAACTTGCTCCATTTCAGATTTGACTCATTATTTGGTTGCTCAATCCTTTTGCCTCCCAATGGCAACCCATAAGCCAAATGAACATCAATTTCCTCCAAAAAGATTTCTTGTTTTCTCTTTGGTAACATCAAACAACATCTCTCCGTGTCAAAATTCGTAACCAAGTTTTCTGTCAACCTAGAATTATAATGAAAAATGTAAGATTTAAAGCACAATACAGCTATATTTAGAATATAATAGTCAATCTTTAGAACATAGAAGATTAAAACATTTAGTATAATATTTAAACTTTTGAACATAATTTAGAACATTATATAATAAAAAAAGTCTATTTTAGAACATAATAAACATACATTAGAACATAACAAAAAATTAATTTAGAACATTAGTGTATAGCAATTCAAACATGAGAGTTCATAATTTTAGAATACAAGAAGTAACTTTAAAACATAAGTAATTTACAACATAATCATATTATTTAGAACATATGCACATAATGTAGAACATAATCATACAATTTAGAACATATGCACATAATTTAGAACATAGCTAATTTCGAACATAATCATATTATTTAGAACATATGCACAAAATTTAGAGCATAACTAATTTAGAACATAATCTTATAATTTAGAACATTAGTGTATAGCAATTCAAACATGACAAATCATAATTTTGAACATAACATTGATAATACTTATGATTTTAGAATATGATTTTAGAACATAACATTCTACTACTTACGTAGAATTAATATGGATTGGTAAATCCAATTCCAAAAAGCCTCCAAAACCAATGTTCCGAATAGCTTGCTTTTGTTTTTTCCGAAAGATTTATCAACACATCCTTCATGAATTGAGTAGGAGGTACTCTTTGATAAGGTTGCCTCTTAACTAGTTTATCTTGCTCATTAGCTTCTACTACTTGGACATCCTCACCATCTTCTTCTTTTTCAATCTTTCTTTTCTTCTTCTTCACATCCTCACCATGAATAGATAAACATAATTAGAACATAGATAAGCAAAATTAGAACATAAGCGTGCACTTTAGAACATAAAAATAAAGATTGTAAAGATTAAAGAGTATTATTACCTGAGTTTGATTTTTTTTATTGATTTTTTGTTCCTCCTCACTATCATCTTCCATCTCCTCTTTTTCATCTTTCTCTTTCATCTTTACATCACCCTTATTATCATCCTCACCATCATCTTTACTATCATTATTCTTGTCATCATCCTCAACATTATTACCCTCTTCTTCTTTTTGATCTTTTCCTTCTTCTTGATCTTTTTCTCTTCCTTCCTTTTTTTGCAATTTTCGAGGTGGTTGAAGCCTTGTTGGAAGTTTTCTATGTCTTATAGCAACACTTTTACTTTCAATATGCTTCTCAAATTCCGATCTATCAATTACTTCCGCTTCAACGTTTTCAACTTTCCTTTAAAAACAATTAAAAATAATTAGAATACAACTAACATTAAATAGAGTGCAAATATAAAGGGATAAGATGAACATAAACTATAATGGATACATATTAGAACATAATACAAATCTTCAGAACATAAGAGAAAATTTTAGAACATAATGGAAAACTTTAGAACATAATGGAAAACTTTAGAACATAATACAAATCTTTAGAACTTAAGGGAAAACTTTAGAACATATTGGAAAACTTTAGAACATATATATATAGGGGAGGGATCCGGTAAGAACCCCTCCTTATGTAAGAACCCTAGTTATATAAGAACCAATCTCATCCGTAGGATTAGATTAGGATGAGCGGTCAAGATTAAAACAAAAAAAAAATCCCCCAAAACCCTCCCTAAACGTTCATACTTTTCTCTCTCCTCAAACTTTCAATCCTCTTTACTTTCTCTCTCCTCAAATCTCAAAATCTAGCCCAAATTGCTGCAAAACAACCTAAATTGCTCAAATCAGGTACTTTTTCTTTGATTATGTTCTAATTTTATGAATTTCACATGATATTCAATTCGATTTTGTGATTTCAATCGCATGATGTTTGCAAACTGGCGATTTTGATTTTTGCGATTTGATTTTCATGAATTTTGCATGAGTTAAAGCCGATTTTGTATGTTTTTCTTTTCGATTTTGTTTAAATTTCTATGAAATTAGCATGATGTTCAAGTGGATTTTGTTTTTACATTCGATATATTTTTGAGTAAGTTTGAGGATAGGTTTTTTTGGATAAATGGCTAGTCATTTTTATTTATTTATTTATTTGCATCTTTTCTTTATGAAAAAATTCATATTATACTGAACGCCCATGACACAACCCAGAGGCCTCGAATTACCAGCACATATTATTATTTTTGAGTAAGTTAGATAGCTTTAGTGTTCGAATTTAGGGTTCAATTTTAGTTCGATTTTTGTTCGATTATTTTGTTTGATTTTTGCTCGATTTTAGTTCGAATTTTGCTTGATTTTAGTTCGATTTTGCTAATATTTTGAATTATTCAATGGGAAAATGTACCGAAGAAAATTCAATAATAGAGCATCTAGAACAGAGACAACATAAAATCAGTTATCATCCCGACCCATCGCTGTCAATTCGTTCATAATACGATGTGACATTACAATCAAAGAGGAATCATAAAAAAGGCGTAAATTAGAATGTTGTCAAAATGACTTTGATCGATATGCTTGATCGCAGTGACATTGCTTGATTTTATGAGGCTGGTGGTTAATTTCTTTGAGGTTTTGTTATAAATTTAAACCAAGACTGAGGCATGTTAATTAGCTTTTCATTAGTAAACTCAGCTAACAGCATATGGTACTCGACTTCTTCCCCATGCTAGACCTTTGCAAGGTTTGACTCCATCAGCAGCAACATGACAATTGGCTTTGGTGAGGATTTATTTCTTTGGTGACTCAGATTCCTTTGTGTTCTCCAGGCCTTTTATGGTCTTATACTTGAGTTTCTCTAGTTCATTGGGTCTTCATTCTACAATCAGCTTGCAACCCTTTCGTTGCACTCCAAAGTGATGAATGCTGCCTGTGTGATTGTGAATTATGTTGACATTTTTGTTCTGCGGTGATGTATTATAGAATCAGCAATTCAGCATATTGGGAACTATGCATTGTATTTCGGATCCTTTTGCATGGAGTTCACTTATATATCGACTGTGCATTTTAATGGATCCTTTAGAACATAGGGGTTGTTAATTGGTTAGGGGTTGTTAGTAGTGAACTTGTGATTGCAGGGCTGAAAACAAACTTTAGAACATAGGTAGAAAAAATTTGGAACATAAGAAAAAATTAGAACATAGGTTGAAATAATTTAGAACATGGGCTGAAAATAAACTCAATCAAACCTTATCATGTTTCTGTTTCATTTGTCTTTTAAATTTCTAGTTTACTCATTCTATTTTGGGTTTTTCACTCTCTAGCATGTTCTAAACTATTTTTCAGCATATTCTAAATTATTCCTATGTTCAAAAATATAATAATAATGTTGGAATGTTACTAATGTTTTTGATTTCTTAATGTTGCAGTAAAATGCAAGGCCAAAATGAAGAAAAATCAGAAGAAGGAGTTACTAATATACAAGAAGAAGAAATTACTTATGTAAGAAAAAGGTAACTAAACTAATGTTCTAAACTTTACCTATTATGTTTTAAATTTTGTTCTAAAGTTTTCCAATATGTTCTAAAGTTTTCCCTTAAGTTCTAAAGATTTGTATTATGTTCTAAAGTTTTCCATTATGTTCTAAAGTTTTCCATTATGTTCTAAAATTTTCTCTTATGTTCTGAAGATTTGTATTATGTTCTAATATGTATCCATTATAGTTTATGTTCATCTTATCCCTTTATATTTGCACTCTATTTAATGTTAGTTGTATTCTAATTATTTTTAATTGTTTTTAAAGGAAAGTTGAAAACGTTGAAGCGGAAGTAATTGATAGATCGGAATTTGAGAAGCATATTGAAAGTAAAAGTGTTGCTATAAGACATAGAAAACTTCCAACAAGGCTTCAACCACCTCGAAAATTGCAAAAAAAGGAAGGAAGAGAAAAAGATCAAGAAGAAGGAAAAGATCAAAAAGAAGAAGAGGGTAATAATGTTGAGGATGATGACAAGAATAATGATAGTAAAGATGATGGTGAGGATGATAATAAGGGTGATGTAAAGATGAAAGAGAAAGATGAAAAAGAGGAGATGGAAGATGATAGTGAGGAGGAACAAAAAATCAATAAAAAAAATCAAACTCAGGTAATAATACTCTTTAATCTTTACAATCTTTATTTTTATGTTCTAAAGTGCACGCTTATGTTCTAATTTTGCTTATCTATGTTCTAATTATGTTTATCTATTCATGGTGAGGATGTGAAGAAGAAGAAAAGAAAGATTGAAAAAGAAGAAGATGGTGAGGATGTCCAAGTAGTAGAAGCTAATGAGCAAGATAAACTAGTTAAGAGGCAACCTTATCAAAGAGTACCTCCTACTCAATTCATGAAGGATGTGTTGATAAATCTTTCGGAAAAACAAAAGCAAGCTATTCGGAACATTGGTTTTGGAGGCTTTTTGGAATTGGATTTACCAATCCATATTAATTCTACGTAAGTAGTAGAATGTTATGTTCTAAAATCATATTCTAAAATCATAAGTATTATCAATGTTATGTTCAAAATTATGATTTGTCATGTTTGAATTGCTATACACTAATGTTCTAAATTATAAGATTATGTTCTAAATTAGTTATGCTCTAAATTTTGTGCATATGTTCTAAATAATATGATTATGTTCGAAATTAGCTATGTTCTAAATTATGTGCATATGTTCTAAATTGTATGATTATGTTCTACATTATGTGCATATGTTCTAAATAATATGATTATGTTGTAAATTACTTATGTTTTAAAGTTACTTCTTGTATTCTAAAATTATGAACTCTCATGTTTGAATTGCTATACACTAATGTTCTAAATTAATTTTTTGTTATGTTCTAATGTATGTTTATTATGTTCTAAAATAGACTTTTTTTATTATATAATGTTCTAAATTATGTTCAAAAGTTTAAATATTATACTAAATGTTTTAATCTTCTATGTTCTAAAGATTGACTATTATATTCTAAATATAGCTGTATTGTGCTTTAAATCTTACATTTTTCATTATAATTCTAGGTTGACAGAAAACTTGGTTACGAATTTTGACACGGAGAGATGTTGTTTGATGTTACCAAAGAGAAAACAAGAAATCTTTTTGGAGGAAATTGATGTTCATTTGGCTTATGGGTTGCCATTGGGAGGCAAAAGGATTGAGCAACCAAATAATGAGTCAAATCTGAAATGGAGCAAGTTTCTAAAAGCTTGGAGAAGCAAGTTTGGCCTCAAAAAAGTATGATGATATAATGTGGTTATGTTTTAAATTTTATGTTCTAAAGTATGAATTTTATGTTATAAATTGTATGTTTTAAAGTGCTTTGCTTATGTTCTAAAGTGTTTTTTGCTTTAAAATAGATTTATTATCTCCATAGGTTTTAATTTATATGTTTTTTTTACCTCTAAAAGGGAAGTCCAACCAACAAGAGATTGATTGACAGAATTCAAGAATTGAAGAAGGAAAAATCAGTTTCTGATGAATTTCTTTGGAACTTTGTGGTATGTGTTGTCAATTGTTGCATTCGATCAACAAACAACCCACAACTATACATTAAATTCTTGTATAGTTGTATGGATGTAAAGAAAATTGCTGAATTGGATTGGTGCACATTTGTGATTGAGCACTTGAAAGATTCTGTAAGTGTATGGAAGAAGGGAAATTCTTACTTTACAGGTCCTTTACCTTTTCTAATGGTAAGTTTTAAATTCTTACCATTATGTATATATATTATTCTTGTTATGTTGAAAATGTGTGAAAAATATTCTAATTAATTCTTAACATGTACTAAATAGGTATTCTATTTTGATCGTCTACAAAGAGGAGGGTTAGAAAAACCAAGAAAATGTCCACTAATTTCGGTGTGGACAAAGGAAAGGATTCAAGTGAGATATAAGTTTGAAAAAGATCATGGATTTGGATATGGAAAACTCTTGGAAAGAATGGAATCAATTGTGGTATGATATTTGTATATGTTTATGTTTAAACACTACACTTTATGTTGTTGTTTTCTAAATTTTATAATTTATATACTAGAAGGCACCAAAAGGAAAAAAGAAACAACCAAAACAAAAGGAAAAAGAGAAGAGAATGGAAAAATCATCAATAGGTTCTAGTTCTACAACTTCTCGAAATGACATGATGGTATGATTTAGTTTATATTGTAAATTATATTTTATGCTCCATTTAATCCTTTTCTGTTAAATTATCCATGTTATGTCCTTTATGTTCTAAAATATTTTTGTGTTCTAATGAAGGGCTTTTTGAGCAAATTTGGAGATTTGGCAAAAACACTTGCCTCGAATGTTAAAGAGATGTATGGCATGTTAGAACAAGCAAAAGATCTTTTTGTTGAGGAAGAAACAACAGGAAAAATGCAACATCTCATAGACAACATATGGTGCAAGTACACAACAAAGGTATTATAATTATGTTCTAAAGTATTTTCTGGTTGTGTTCTAAAGTATTTTCAGCTTATGTTCTAAAGTATAATAAATTTATATAAATATTATGCATATTATGTTCTAAATTATAATTTCTTATTTTATAGACATTCGTGAACCAAGAAGAAAAGAAAAGCCCTTCTATACTCAGCCAAGATCAACATGTCTTCGATGAACCGGCATTTATTGAAGAATTGGATATGGTTATGGATAAGGCATGGAAGAAATTCGAGGAAACAAGGTCACCAAAGTCACCGACAGTTGGTAATTTCACATGTACATGCTTAATTTCCAAATTATACTTATGTTCTATATTAGATGCTTATGTTTTAAAGTACTTTTTTATGTTCTAAAACATGCGCTTAAATCACATGCTTATGTTCTAAATTATATGATTATGTTCTAAATTAGTTATGTTCTAAATTAGTTATGTACTAAATTAGTTATGTTCTAATTGTTAAGCAGATTTGAGATCAAAGGAAGAGGAAAAAGATAAGAACAAAGAAGAGAGAAATGAAGAGAATAAAGACAAAAACTTGTTGATTCCCTCACCAGTAGTTGGTAATTTCACATTATTTTCAAATTCATTTTTTATGTACTAATATTTACTAGATATGTTCTAATATTACTTCTTATGCTCTAAATTTTTTCTGGTTATGCTATAAAGTTAATTCTTAATTTTTTATATTCTAACTATTTCTAGGTTGTCTCCTAATTGTATATATTTCTTATGTTCTAAAGTTACTTTTTATTTTCTAATTATTTTTTGCTATTTGCTATAATACTTAATTTTTATGGTGTAATTGCTATGAAGATTTGGGATCAAAAGAAGAAGAAAAAGAGCTGTACAGAAAAGAGAGAAACGAGGAGGAAAAAATTGAGAAGAAAGAGAAAAGGAATGAGGAGTCACCAAAAACCCCAATTCCTCCAAAAAAGAAGCAACCTTTTGATATAACTCCTCCAAGTTTCAAGTTATTGACCCCCTCACCAGCAGTTGGTAGTTTTACATTATTTTCAAACTTTTTTCTTTTGAAATAATATTACTAGATTTGTTTTAAAATTACTTCTTATGTTATAAATTTTTTCTGTTATGTTCTAAAGTTATTTCTGATGTTCTAAATTTTTTCTAAATCAGATGCTTATGTTTTAAACTACTTTCTTATGTTCTAAATTATGTGCATATGCTCTAAATTATATGATTATGTGCTAAATTATGTGCATATGCTCTAATAATATGATTATGTTCTAAATTATGTGCATATGTTCTAAATAATATGATTATGTTCTAAATTAGTTATGCTCTAAATTATGTGCATATTTTCTAAATAATATGATTATGTTTGAAATTAGTTATGCTCTAAATTATGTGCATATGTTCTAAATTGTATGATTATGTTCTAAATTATGTGCATATGTTCTAAATAATATAATTATGTTGTAAATTAGTTATGTTCTAAAGTTACTTCTTGTGTTCTAAATTTTTCTGGTTATATTCTAGTTATTTCTAATGTTCTAAATTTTTTCCAACTATTTCTATGTTGTGTCCTTATTGTTTCTACTTATGGTTTGATGTCCCAGAAAATCAAGAAGATAATGAAGCAGAACTCACTTACGAAGAAGTGACAGCAAATGTTCTAAATTGTGCTTTTCTAAATCCAGATCATCCACCTACATTGGATGAAGAGGAGAAGCAAGAAGAGGAAAAAGAGGAGAAGAAAGAAGAGGAAAAAGAGGAGAAGAAAGAAGAAAAGGAGAAGAAGAAAGAAGAGGAAAAAGAAGAGAAGCAAGAGGAGAAGAAAGAAGAAAAGGGGAAGAAGAAAGAGGAGGAAAAAAGGAGATCCAAGAGGAGAAGAGAGAAGAAAAGGGGAAGAAGAAAAAGGAGGAAAAAGAGGAGATCCAAGAGGAGAAGAGAGAAGAAAAGGGGAAGAAGAAAAAGGAGGAAAAAGAGGAGAATCAAGAGGAGAAGAAAGAAAATGAAGGAAGCAAGAATGAAGAGAAGAACAAAGAAGAAAAAAATGAGAACAAGAAAGGGTAATCATTTTGTAAACTTTAAAACAAATGTTGGTTATGGTTTAGTTAAATTTTAATTTAGAACTTGGTAATAATAAATTTTGGTTTGATTTGGTTATGGTTTTTGTTATCAATAAATTTTGGTTTGATTTAGTTATGGTTTTTGTTATCTATGTGATATTTTTTAATTGAATTAAGTAGGAAACAAGGAGAAGAAAAGACACGGAAAAAAAGAGGAAAGGATAAGCTTCCAATGTACTTGCGTTCACCTTTCATGGTTGAACATGAAAAACTTTTCAAGAATGTGGACAATAGAAAGGTAGCTGAGTATGCGTTTGCTCAAGGAGATAATAAGTAAGACTTTAAAACTTTAAAATTATATGCTTATGTTCTAAGCTATATGCTTATGTTCTAAGCTATATGCTTATGATCTAAGCTATAAATTATGTTCTAAACTTCATTCTTATGTTCTAAACTGCGTGTTCTAAGCTACGAGATTATGTTATAAAGTACATGTGTAAAACTATATGCTTATGTTCTAAAATAGGTACTTATGTTCTAAACTATATTCTTATGTTTTAAATTATGTGTTTATGTTCTAAACTACATGCTTATGTTCTGATTTTATTGTTCTGATTTTAGGGAGCTTTTGTATGCTGATAACATGGGGACAACGATTACGAGAGATGAGATTCATAGTCTCATAGAAGATAAGCACATGTTGAACAATGTTGTGGATGCTTATGTTTGCCTATTGAATTTTGAAAATAAAAGACGTGGTGTAGACAAGAAGAGTAGATTCTTTTTCAGTACTGAATGCTATGTATGTTTTCGAACTTAAAATTATAACTATGTTCTAAGAGTAGATTCTTTTTGTTTCTCATATAGATTATACTATGCACCTATGTTCTAATTACTTATGTTTTAATTTCTTTTTCTTTTTCAGCTCATATGTTGTACAGAAAAATACTTCAAATCAAATGAAAGGCAAGATGATAGAATGAAGGCTTTGTTTGATAGAATGCAGCAAGAAATGACAACGACCGGAGTAACAAGCTTCAAAAGCATTCAATTGGTAATTTGGTATCTTATTATGTTGTACTTTTTTCTTATTATATGTTCTAATTATTGGTTTTGTTTATGTTCTAATTATTTTTATCTATGTTTTAAAGTATCTACTTATGTTCTAAACTACTTATTTATCTTCTAAACTACTTACTTATGTTCTAAACTACATGTTATAAAAATTATATGCTTGTGTTCTAATCTATATGCTTATGTTCTAAAATGCATGCTTATGTTCTAATTTTGCTTATCTATGTTCTAATTCTGTTTATCTATTAGGTTTTCTTCCCGGTCGTTTTACCAGATCACTACTATTTGCTGTGTGTCAACTTTGTGGAAGGAACATTTGATTTGATTGACAACATATTTCTTCCACCAAATATTCCTTTTCACAATAAATATGGAAATTACCATAGATTAATGGTAAGACATCAAGTTTACATTTTTTTAATTATACTTTTGTTCTAACTTTTGCCTTATATGTTCTACAGTTTTTCTTTATGTTCTAAAGTTTACCTTATATGTTCTAAAGTTTATCCAATTTTTCAGTTGAATGCATTTGCTGATTTCGTTCACTCAATTGACTCAAATATAAAGAGTGACTTTGTATCCTCCTTCAAAACAAGAAACTTGAGTATGTCATGGAAGAGCAATAAGAACAAACATGATTGTGGAGTGTTCCTGTTGAAGCACATGGAAACATATGAAGGAGAATCTGTAAAACAATGGAATTCGGGACTAGAATTAGACAATGTAAGTTTAAAACATAAGATACATGTTTTAAATTAGTTTCGTTTATGGTTTTGGTGTTATGGTTTTAGTGTTGTGGTTTGGTTTGGTTATTGTTTAGATATATTATGGTTTATTATATTTATTTATACTTATATGCTAAATTATATTCATGTTCTAAATTATATGCTTATGTTCTAAAGTATTTCTGTTTATGTTCTAAAAGTTACTCTTTTTTTTTTTTTTTGCAGTTTGACCAAATGTTTATGTTTATGTTCTAAAAGTTACTCTTTTTTTTTTTTTTTTTTTGCAGTTTGACCAAATGAAAAAATTAAGAGTGGAGTATTGTGGGAAGATAATAACAGCAGAAGTAAATGAAGAACGGAACAAAGTGATTAGGAGATCAAAAAAGTGGTCAAAGGAGAACAAAATGGATATATGATTGTTAAGATCTTAAGTTTATATTTGTAGAGAGATATTTGCAAAGAATATAACAGTAATTTTTTATGTTCTATGTATTTACCTGTTACAAGAAATATATTGTTGAATCATATTAAATGCTAAAATTTTAATATAAAATATATCATATAAACTTATATGCTAAATTATATTCATGTTCTAAATTATATGGGTATGTTCTAAAGTATTTTTGATTATGTTTTAATAATTATATGCTTATAAAGTTAGGATATTAGAATATATTATTATATATTAATTTTGACTTAAAACTTAAAGTGTAGAACATTAGAACATAAGAAAATTAAAAAAAAGTAACAAGAAATGACAACAGCCAAAGTAACAAGATTCCAAAGCATTCAATTGGTAACTTGATTCTAATTATATCTTATTATGTTGTACTTTTTTCTTATTACATGTCCAAATTATTGATTTTGCTAATCTTCTAATTATTTTTATCTATGTTCTAAAGTATTTGCTTATGTTCTAAACTGGCTGCTTCTAATCCATTACTTTTGCTTTATTTTTCCTTTTGAATACAATGCATACACTCTTTAGTGCATATCTAAGAAGGCATATGTAAATCAATGTTAAGAAACTTGAATAAATAAAAGTTGATTAAAGCAAGATTCAACTAAATGTTGTTTAATAAAGGTATCTAAAATGCTTGTACTATCATTACTCGTAGTTCAAATTGACTTAATAAAACAACTTATAATTACGAAAAGGGGGGAAGATGAAAAGACAGGAGATGTTATAAAACATTATAATCAACTTTAATTAACATAAAAATTGATAAGAAAAACACTAGTAGAGATACTCTGAATAATAATTGGACAAAAAAGAAATAAAAATATATTGTTTCTAAAAGTAAATAAATTGAGTTCTTATATTTTAAGAATTACATGAATAATATTTTACGTGCTAGTAAATGAGATATTGTTTCTAAATATATAACATCTCATGCAACTGGATTAATAGTATATTCACCAACCTGTAAAGAAAAAAAAATAAAACAATATTAGAACATAAGCACATAATTTAGCATTAAAAAATGTTATAACATGCCATTTCTATTAGTTTAGAACACATGATATTATATAGAGTAAAAACTTTAGAACATTTAAAGAAACCTTTAAAACATATAAAGAAAACTTTAGAACATATAAAGAAAATATTTTGAACATAAAGAGAAAAGTTAAAATATAAAGGAAAACTTTAGAACAAAATGAATAACTTTATATTCTAAACATTAGAGCATATTAAATTACACTAAAACAGAAAGAATAAACATTAGAACATAGAGAAAACACTTTAGAACATAGAAAAGTAACTTTAGAACAAAGAGAAAACACTTTAGAACATATTGAATTACTTTAGAACATATATGAATAACTTTATGTTCTAAACTTGCTTAAAACATAATTACTTTAGAACAAAATAAATATAAGAAAATTAAAAATAAAGTTTACTTACAATATCACTTGACTTTTCCAGGGCAATTACGACTATCATGATAACCAAGCTCCCCACATGCTCTACATAATCTCTTCTTCTTTTGACTTTGTTCAATAGACTTTTCTCTGTCACTCTTCATTCTTTTGTCACTATTTGGAACATGAACCTCATTTGGAACATGGACATCATTTGGAACATTTACCTGATTTGGAACATGAACCTGATTTGGAACATGGACATCATTTGGAACATTGACCTGATTTGGAACATGAACCCCCGTGCCTTTGTTCTTCGAAATTTTAGGAGGTTTGATTAAAACATTAGAAGGTAGACTAGCTCCAATAAGCATTTCAATGTCTTTAACTTTGCTCGAAAGATTGTTGCTTCCATTTGTTTTCTTCTGTTCCAAATCTACCCTCATGGCTCGAAGTTTTTTGACAAGATCACTAAGATCATCTTCATTGTTTTGCACTAAACTCACACAAGCATGAATTTCAGACCACAAATCATTTAATAACATTTTCTTATCTACTGCATTAATACATTCCTCCAACACATTACCCTCTAAATCAAAAATGGGCTTCTTATAAGCCATTGTACACCATCTATTTAGAATGTAGGCCTTGGGAATTTTTTCTAACATCCTTGCCTTCCACACCCAAATCATATGCCTACAAGGCACACCATCACGTTCAAATTTTTTACAAAAACACTTGGTATCAAAGGTAGTTGGATCAAAAACAACATCAAAAGTCCTCCTTCTAGTTCCTTCCCTCAAATTGAAAATGTAAAGCTCATTGTCCTTCTTCATCTCCTCAACACCACAATTAAAACATCCAATTTCAAGCTCATATTGAAATTCATAGAAAATTGTTGTTGTAAACAATTCAGAAGCATCTTTCTCTAAAGGAATTGGAGTCTTACACTCCGGACGCTTATTCTTCGAATCATTATCCATTTTATTTTGAGTGTGCCTTTGAGCATCCAATGCACATTCAAACCTATAGAAAATAGAAATTAACTTTAAAACATAGAAGATAATTGTAGAACATAGAGTGAATTACATTAGAACATATAAATATACATGACATGTTTATTATGATCTAAATATTATTAAAACATAAAGAGAAAAAGAAAACATAAAAGAGAATTATAAAATAAATAGTAAAACTATAAAGCATAAAAAGAAAACTTTAGAGCATACAAGGAAAACTTTAGAACATACAGAGTAACTTTAGAACATATATAGACAATTACTTATTACCTCATGTAGAACTCAATCAAAGTGAGATGGGGATTTGTGAACATAGTGAAAAAATTATTTTCACTTTCTGATCTAGATGTGGTTCTCATAATGCCACCCAAAAATAAATCTCTGAAATACGCTGGAATCCACATATCACGTATGTTGTACATGTATGCCAACCATTCATGATCGTTCAAATGGAATTCTGAAATAACTTTGTTCCACTTTTCTTCAAATTCTGCCGGCTCAATCTCTAAATGCCAAACACATGAACACAGTTTTTTCAAGAAATCAGTGTCTTGGGCAATCGCCCGACCTACTTTTTCAGGCACCTTTTTCATAATATGCCACATACAAAACCTATGTTCTGTAGTTTGAAAAACATTACGAACAACAACTTTCATTGCAGGGTCTTGATCGGTAATCAAACACACAGGCTCGTTATTTCCCATTGCTTTAAGAAAAGTTTTGAAAACCCATTCAAAAGATGATATATCCTCATGAGCTACAAAAGAAGCCGCAAAAGTAACACATTTTTTATGATGATCAACTCCAGTAAATGGACCAAAGATCATATTATATCTGTAACATACACAAATTATTTATGCAGAAAATAGAGGTAAACTTTAGAACATAGAGGTAAATTGTAGAACATAGAGGTATACTTTAGAACATTAAGGATAAACTTTAGAGGATAGTAATTTAATTTAATTATTAAACGTGGCAGTAATATAGTTGTTTTAAAACATAATGAATTACTCTAAAACATAAACACTAAACTAAAAATATACAATGTAGCTTTAAAAACTTATAAGTAAACTTTAGAACATATAGACATAATGTTTAGAACATGATGGATATTAGTTTAGAACACAAAGAATAAAGTGTAAAACACAAAAGCATAATGTTTAAAGCATAAAAGCATGATGGATATATTTTAAAGCATAAGGTAGAACATTAGCAATATATGTTTAGAACATAAGGCATACATAGTTTAGAACATAAAGAATATTTGTTTAGAACATCAAAACATGATGGATATTTGTTTAGGAACACAAGGCATGATATTTAGAATATAAGAACATATGTTTAAAAAATTAATATGTAAAAGTAAAATATTAATTACATTATGAAAGAAATTTATATTTAAAACATCACCTGTTTGTTTTGAATGTGGTATCAAAAGAAACCATATCACCAAAAAGTGCATAATTTTTTCGACAGATTGGATCAGCCCATAAAGCTCTACAAAGTCTATCTTCTTCATCAACATCATAGGAAAAAAAAAAATGCACTCCAGAGCAATTTCTTATTTTGAAAATTATCCACAAACATTTGGGCATCTGATCCATCAATAAAAGCCTTCAAATCTCTATAAAAAATTTTTGAAATCTTGTTTAGATGCACCAACATTATCATGTGATCCAGCTAATTCTTTCATCATAGTATAAGACCTCACAGGACCAACATTTACCTGTTAGAAAAAAAAAAATATTACTAAGATTAAGAATTAACTTTAGAACATAGTAAATCAAAACAAAAAAAAAACATTATTTAGTACATAAAAATAAATCACCTTTGAATTATCAATAATCAACTTTTTATGCATAATATGCATTTTTCTATTATCCTTCTGAAATTTTGCACAACTTGGAGTATATAAAGGATGATTATGTTCTTCTTTGAAATGAGTTACAACATACTTTCCAGCATCATATCTCATACATATGTGAGCATTGCATCCTACACGAGTGACTAAACGTTTCCTAGTAATACGAACTTTTCCTTCTTCATAAACTGTTTGTTGAGCAATAGGTTTTCTTATTGCCCTAAAACCTTCCTTATTGCAAACTCCATATTGAAAAGCAATTATATCTTTGTTATTCTTCTTCCTTTTAGTAGTAGATTTCCTAGAAGTAAACCCAGCGGCATTTGCATATGCTTTATAAAAACTAAGACCCTCTTCAGGATCTTTAAATATCATCCCCAAACTGGGTTTTAACTCCTCGGGAACACTTGGAATCCATTCCTTAGTGGTACCACCAGGGCTAAATGATCCAACAACCTCTAGATACGATAAATATCACAACTGATTAGAACATGAAAGTAAACATAGAACATAAAAATAAACTTTATAATATAAAAGAAAGATACATAAAAATCTTTAGAACATACAGAGAAACTTTAGAACATCAAAGATAAACTTTAGAACATCAAGGATAAACTTTAGAACATATAAAATCAGGGACATACTTATAACATAGTGAATTACTTTATAACATACATAATAAAATTTACAATAAAGTGAAAAAATTAAACTAGAAGGTTAACTTTAGAACATACAATGAAAGTAAACATTAGAACATAAAAAGTAAAATTTAAAATTAGAAGGTAAACTTTAGAACATAGAATGAAAGTTTTAGAATATAAAGAGAGAGATATATAGAAAACTTTAGAACATACAGAGAAAACTTCAGAACATTACAGATAAATGTTAGAACATAGTAAAGAAACTTTAGAACATGTAAGTAAATTGAAATTAAAACATTGAAAACAATAAAATTACCTGAATGAGTAACACAGGAAGAAGGATAATTAGGTTGCACACCATCTAAATCCATCAATATGCATAAACCTATTTTGAAAAACACAAATTGTAGCAAAAAAGCAACCAGAAATTAAAATCCATTAAAAATCAAAAATCTGGAAAACAAAATAGGATAAAATCGAAAACGATGTTGAAAAACTCAAGCAAAGGAAAAAAACAGAAAAATCTGGAAATAAAAAATCTGGAAATAAGCAAAGGAAATAAAATCTAGAAATAAAATTTGGAAAAATCTGGAAATTGAAGAAGAAAAAGAAAACTAGAAAACGAAATTGATGAAATTAATGAAAAAACTCAAACAATGCTCTACCCGTTGAGCTAGTAGGCTAATGTATATAAAACACTTGAACTAGAGGAAAAACTACTAACAACTATATGAGATAATCACAAAAGTAATTTTTTTTTGTTTAATCATATCCTTTTGCACTTCTAAACACTATCTTTAGCATCGTTTATTGTAATTTGATGATCGATTACTTGCATTAAGGTGGGTTCATTATATTGGCTATATAATCAATCTATCATTAGTAGTCCTTTAAAGCAAAAGTTATCCCAAGTTAAGACTAGTGCTAATTAAACAAGCTTTGACAAACATGCTAAGATTGTCTACTTTAGAACACAATGAATTACTTTAGAACATAAAGAGTAAACTTAATATATGCTAAATAAAAGTTTAGAACATGCTAAGATAGTTAAATAATAGTTTAGAATATAATGAATTACTTTAGAGCACAGTGAATTACTTTAGAACACAAAGAGTAAACTTTATAACATAGATGGAAAATTTTAGAACATAGAAGGAAAACTTTAGAACATCTTGAATTATTTTAGAACATAATGAATTACTTTATGTTCTAAATTTCCTTATAACATAGTGAATTATGTTCTAAATTTGATTTGCTTAGAACGTAGTAAATTACTTTATGTTCTAAATTTGTTTAGAACATAGCTATGTTCTAAATTTGCTTTTGCTTAGAACATAGTGAACTATATAAAATCTAGAAATAATAAAATTAAAAAAAAAAAAAAAAAAGGAAAAGGAAAAACCACCACCACCCTTTTCCTCTTCCCAGCCACCAAATTCGCCGCCGTCGCTACCCTAGCCGCCACCTAACCTTTCTCTACCCAGCCAACCCTAACCTCGCCGGTGAACAGATCCCCTGTGCCGGGGACCCACCCAGCCTCCCCACCCCCCTTTTTCCTTTTTCCTTTTTCCTTTTGAGAAAAAATTAACGCATCAAAATCGCAGCATACACAAATCGCAAAAAGCTGGAAAATTTTGAGAAAAAATCGCAGCAAATAAAACAGCATCGAAATCGCAAAAGAAAACCGAACAAAAAAAATCAAAATAAGAACAAACAATTCGAACAATCAAACAATCGAATTGATAAATAATCGAGCAAAATAAATATACATCGAATAGAAAATCGCCAAAAACAAAATCGAATAGAAAATTCGCAAAAAATCGCAAAAATATTGACGAAAACATGAATTAATCAGTAAAAATCGAACATAAATCGCAGCAAAAATTGAGAAATAAACGCATCAAAATCGCAGCATACAAATCGCAAAAATCAGGGAAAGATTTGAGAAAAAATCGCATAAAAACGCAACAAAATCACATCAAATTGCAGCAAAAAATCGCATCAAAATCGCATAAAATTCGTAGCAAAATCGCAGCAAAATATTCGCTAAACAATATTGAGAACAATTACATAGAAAATGCTCAAAATAATCGCATGAAATTAATCGCATCAAAATTGCATGAAAAATCATTAAATTTAAAACAAATCTGATTATAAAATTAATAAACTTACAATAATTAATCCAAAATCTGTGAAAATATCGTGATGAATTTGATGAACTTTCGCCAATCTGTTGAACTGAGGAGAGGGAGAAAGCTGAGAATTTTAGAGAGAGAAAGCTGAGAGTTGAGAAACATAAAATAACTAGATGAAGGAAGAGGAAAAAGAATTTGAATAAACTCCTTCAAATTACAAAAATGCCATTACTAATCATTCATTTTGAGCGGTCAGATCAAGCTAATTCCACGGTCCAGATTAGTTCTTATATATAATGGGTTCTTATATAGAGGAGGGTTCTTATATGAGCCTTCCTCTCTCTCTCTCTCTCTCTCTCTCTCTCTCTCTCTCTCTATATATATATATATATATATATATATATATATATATATATATATATATATATATATATATATATATATATATTTTAAAAAGTTGATTTTATTTAGCGGGTTTAAAATGAATATATACCAACACAATGTTTGACTAGGCTTAGCATTTACTCAATTACTCTACAACAAGTCAATTACTCTACAGCAAGTCAACAGCACAATCCAATAACAACAATCGAAGCCTATTTATTACAAATTTGAGATTGAGCAAAGGTTAATTTATCACTACTAACCCACCTCATAGGTTAAGGATATGAAATTCTGAAATGGCTTACAAAAAGAAAATAAAAAAAAAAATTAAAGGAAATGATAACTAGTACGGAGTATTTTCTACTTAATTGTTAATGTAGTTTTCAAGTAGAGTTGTTTTAATTTTTATTTAAAAAGAGTGGCAATGAAACTATGATCAAGACAAGTTTGTGTATTTCAAGCTTCCAACACTATCCATCTTGGAGTTGCAACGGAAGAGCGTCTTTTAAAAATCTTAAACCTTAACTTGTATAGCTCTATTTAAACTATATTGTTTAATCTTTGGCTTTATACTAATGTATAGGCCATCTTATAGGGCATGCATGCATTAACTTGAAAATTTGGGTGTCTAGTATAGATGAAAAAGTACACACAATTACCAAAATATATACTTGCTTACTTGGTAATGTCGTCTAATACTGTATTAACCGTATATTTCTACCAATATGTGTTGCATGTTTGAAAAGTTTATTTCACAAGTCGATTTAAAGGAGGTTCCATCCTAAAATTATATGACAATAGAAGGAATAGTCTCATAGTCTTATAAAGTGTTTAGCTCTTTCTTCTTTTCTCAACGTGGGACATTTACATGTGTTATTTAAGAAGTTTATACTTCAACATATTTAAATAATATACTAGTACAAATCATTTTAATTTAATTTAAATAATTTCATTTTAGTATAAAAATGTTTAGTTTAGCAGAAATAATTTTAGTACTCAATAATAATAATAATAATAATTTAGTCAATAAAAATTAGCTAAGTAACTTTGAAGATAATTAGTAAAATAAAGTTTATAAGGTAAAAATGATTTAAGTTATTCTTTAAAATAATTTAAGTTCAACAAAAATAAGGTGAATTGAACATGGGCCAACAAATAAAAACTACATTCATAAAATTACTACTTCCTCCGTTCTCTTTTAGCCATTTTAGGTGCAATGTGTGAAGTTTGGTCTAATATTCATGCACTTCTATTTGACGGAGATATATACCTGGGTGTACCATACACCCATGAGTATTTTGATGTCATTTTGATGATTGATTTTCATTTAATCATCAAATGATGAGGAAAAACTAACCTTTTGTTGGTTGGGTGTATGATGCACCCGTCGGGTGTATATAACAAATTTCACTATTTGACCAGCTTTAATGAATAATATGTGTGAAAAATAAAGTCACGTGAGATTTTATTGGATTCTTTCCGATGCAAAGTGTATTGTCATAATATCAATTTTCATAATTTTAACCTATCTATAATTAGTGTTATATGAAGCTTTCAATTTTTTGCATCGACAACTGTGAAAGTAAAAATTGTTGCAATAATAAGTGAATG